TGTGACAGTATATGCAAGGTATTATGGACTTGGAGCAGAGAGCTGAACATAAGCTTCATGAGGGCCGCAGCTTTGTCTCTTTTATTCACTGCTAGGACTCCCAGGCCCTAGAATAGTGCCTGCAGGTGTTTTTAACAAATAAATGAACAAACCACGAATCCTGCTGGTGGAAGGGGTGGGACATCCTACTTGGCTGTTCTGTGAAGGAATCAGCTGAGGCCTGGTAAAGAGCAATTTGTAGCTTGTCCACACTGGCATTGGCCTTGAGAAGCCTGCATTGGAGTGGTGGAAAAACTTTTAAAAAGCACGTACAAAGCGACACATTGCAAGTAGGAATCATAAAAGTAGAGTCTCCCAGATAATTCAGAATGCAAAGATAACACAGTTGCTCTTGGGCCCTGCCAAGACCCTTGATTTTGAGGTGAGCCTGGAGCCCTCACATTCTGGATCAACCTCCTCTTGTGTGAAGAGCTGTGACAGAGGCCCCCAAACATTGCATGGTGTGGCTCCTGGGCAGGGCATAGCTGGGCCTACTGAGCTGGAAAGACTCAGGGGGTGGGAGAGGTGCTGGTCAGAATGAGGGAAGAATCTGGTTGTGACTCAAACACTGAGTTCTCCAGGACCCTTCCTTGACACTCCACTATGTCCCCTCTCCCAATCCAGTCCCATTCACTCATGGCCCAGCAACGACACAGCTGCTGGCATAATCTGGATTTTCCGTGTCCCTCTCTCCACGAGGGCAGGGACTGTGTCTGTCTTGTGTCTGTCTTCTGGGTCCCCAGGAACTAGCCTGGTACCGGGAACTTGGATGAACAGAGGAACAAATGCCTGCATCAGTTTGCTCCTGGAAAAGGCAAGTTCTGAATCAGATTTTGAAAGTGCAGAGGCTCGGGTGGGAGATGGACAGAGAAGAAAAGAGAAGCTCCAATCAAGCCTAAATGCTCCTACGAAGGTCGCCAGCTCACCTCCACGCTGCTCAGCCACCGCCGGACCGACAGGAACGACTGCTTGTCTGTGAGATCGTACATGACGATGACACCATCGGCCTTTCTGAAGAACTGCTGGGTGATGCACCGGTACCTGCCACAGAAGGGCCACGGGTCAGGCATGCATGACCTTCCCCCTGGAGCCCCGAACTTCAGGCAGCTCCTCACCTCTCCTGCCCAGCCGTGTCCCACAGCTGCAGGGCCACCTGAGAGTCGTCCACATTCACTGTCTTCACACGGTAATCAATGCCTGCAGGGTGAAACGGGCCTGTCAGGGCTGCCCTGGGCCAGGGCACCTCACTTCCAAATCAGGAAACGAGGCTTCCAATGTCTGAAATCACATCAGGCCCAAGGTGACAACCCTCCCTGTGCAGCTCATGGGAGGCAAAATGGAGAAAGGAACAGAGCACTGGATGGGGAGGCATGGGACTTCAGCTCTGGTCCTCTCTCTGCCACTTATTAGCTGTGGAACCTTGATCAAATCACTTAACCACTCTGAACTGCGGGCTCTTCACTGTAATACAAGCCATATGCTCTTTCTTTCCCTCCCTCCCTCCCTCCCTCCTTCCCTCCCTCTTTTCCTTCCTTCCTTCCCCCTTCCTCCCTCCCTCTCCCCCAACTTTCTTTCTTTCTCTTTCTTTCTTCCTTTCTTTCTTTCCTTTCTCTTTCTTTCTTTTCTTTCTTTCCTTTTTCTTTCTTTTCTTTCTTTCCTCTTTCTTTCTTTCTTTCTTTCTTTCTTTCTTTCTTTCTTTCTTTCTTTCTTCTTTCTTTCTTTCTCTTTCCTTCTCTTTCTCTCTCCTTCTCTTTCTCTCTCTCTTTCTTTGTTTCTCTTCACCTAAAATCCTTTAAAAGGCCCCCTAGTAAAAATCAAATGTCCTATGGGGATGGACTCCATCAACCAATCCAAAGGTATGTGGAGGAAGAAGAAGGAGGGGAGGAGGAACAGGAGGAGGAGGGTAGGAACTGTCAGGTAGAGGAAAGGACAGAACAGAAGGGGTAAGAGAAAAAAATCACAGGCAACGTTCACCCTTGACATGGGTTAGGGCTCCTAATCCTACCACTGGGCTGTTCACAACCATCTCTCCAGGGGTGTGACCCTACCTGGGGTCCTCAACCCCAGAGAGAGGGGGCAAGGTCAGTGAAGTGCATTCTGCACCCCACAGCAGCTCTCAGAGGTCAGGACCTCAACACAGGTGTTCTAATACAGGTCTTCTCCACTCCTGCATCCTGTAAGAATATTCGCAAAGGCATAAAGAGGTTCAAAAGTACATCCCACCACCAGCACCATAAGTTCGAGATCTTAGAACGTTAGGGTATCTCCCACAACCTTCAGAAAGGCCTCTGGAGGGCTCAGGAAGACAAACAGCAACAGCAGCTTGGACAGATAGAGACAGAAGAGACCAAACAGACAACAAAGAGGCAGTAAATGGAAAAGGTCATCCCAGCCGCTGCTGCTGGGCAAAGGCTACTGCATTAAGGACTCACGAGTGAGGAGAGGCGGGAGGATCATCCACTTCCAGAATGTCAGGGGCAGCAGGGAGTCTGGAGGCCCTCTGCTTCACAGACGGGGGCCAGAGAGGACTGCAATTGTCTGGGCTGAGAGTGATTTCTCCCATTAATAGAAGGCTATTTCCAGTGTTTCTATGTGCTGCCTCTCTACCTTCACAGAGTCCCCCTGTGACATCCATGTGAGTTATCTGCACACACATGTGCACACACGCATATATACTCAAACACACACATTCACACACACACCGAGAGATGAAGCACGAGTCATGAGCAGTCGTGCCTTGCCCGAACTGGTCGGTAGCCAGGTGAGCTGCAATCCCAGCTCTGAGGCTGACTGCCACTCCTGGAGCCAGACTCAGGGCACAGGACACGGGCAGCTTTGTTTCACCTAGAAGGCCCAGGGCTAAGTGCTCCCAGCAAAACAGATGACAGTGGCTGGAAGGTGAATCCAAGGGTGCGTTTTCTTCCTGGCTAGAAGTGGAGGGGCTTTCCTGGTCTGTGCTCTGGGAGACAGAAGGGGCTGCCTGCTTTCTGGTAACAACTGAAGGGAAAGGCATCCATGGTCATACAGCTTCAGGGCCAGATCGAAAACCAGCCAGTGCTCCCCGAGGACAGAGCCTTCTGCCTGCTGGTAAGGCTCGCAGGTAGAGCGGCAGGGAGCTTGCTGGGGCAGCTGGGTCTTGGTTGCCCTCAGCTCCTGCTCCACCTCATGAGCTAGGCGCTTTGCTGGAGGACAGGCAGCTGTCTCTGGCGAGGAGTGAGATGGGCAAAAGAGTGTGCTGGAAAAATGCTCGGTGCCGTGGTGAGCTTGGGGAGACTCCCTGCTGAACACGTGATATGTTTCTCTCCGCAGCCTCAGACAGGCAGGCCGAGGAAGCAGATAAACAGGCTCCCGGGGGCTGGGTGTGAGGGACACAGGAGAAGACGAGGGGGTGGGGATGAAGAGGCAGCGTGTGCAAACATGAAGCCAGAGAACACAAGTCCAACAGGATAGTAACACGGAATACGTGGGGACCGGAGGGCCTGGATTAAACTGATTTAAAGACCACCACCAGTTCTGAAATCCCAGGAGGCAAGAGACCTGTGTTGTGCGTTCCTGTCTCAGCTCTGCCACTGACCATGGGTGCAGCTCATTTTGGGGGGGTTCTCCCTCCTCATCAGTAGACGGCAGTGGGATGGAGGTACGAAGGGATGAAGGGGCTAAGTTGGATGTTCACAGTGTTTAAGTGCGGCTGGAGCATTCAACTATCACATCAAGGTGACCCTTGTTTGCAAGCAAATTGCTTCCCGAAGGATGGCTCAAGTCAGGAGCCTCCTGGCACCTTGAAAGGTGCTGTGGAGATGGTGTGGGTTAGCGCTGGGCTGATGGTTGCCAGGAGGGTGACCTTAACCTTTCTCGAGGTGACAGCCCTGAGCTGTCATAAGGCAGGAGCAATGGGGAGCAGTGGCAGCAAGTTGCTCTGGAGAAATACCCTAGGGAGCTGCTGCAGGGATTTCTCTGTAGAGATGGGCAGTGGGACAGACACTGGACCGGTGGCCAAGAAAGGGCTGGGGCATTCTGCCAGAAACAGCTTCTGGAAGAAACACCTTGGGTTCTGGCCTGTGACCTAATGCAGGGAGGTGGTGAACCAGTGTGGTGTAGTGGGAAGAACGCTGGACTTGGAGTCCTGGGTTCCAGGGGGTTTGGTTAACTCGAATGATCAGTCTGTTGTGGATCTCCATTTTCTCACTTACAACATGAGACGATGTAATTAGACCATTCCTAAGGTTCCTTCCAGATCTAGCATTCTGCAAAAACCATCAGTGTCGTCTCCAGGATGCCTGCAGGGCTCAAGCACCTGCTCTTGAAGGAGCAGGCTGGGCCCCAGGTGGGGCAGGCAGGGTGCCCTAGTCACCAGTCGCACTGTAGCAACTTGCATTTCACACAAGCCACTGGTCCAGTACAAAACATGCTCTTATGAGGGAGTGGGAGACCAGGAAGTTGGAGGACCCCTCGGAGGATGGAGGTGAGCTGGAAGAACAGCCAAAGCCCTGCCACTGGGCTGTAACTGCTGCCCTTGACAGGAGATTGGATGGAATCCTGGTCTGGGGGTGGGCAGTTTTGGCCCGAGAGGCTGTGACTCTGTGGCTGTTATATCTCTTTAAAGGGGGCAGCCTGCAGGTGGCTGGTGCGACATCTGCTTCCTGACATGTGTCCTAGAGCAGGGCCTGCAGTGTGGCAGGGAAACTAATTTGAGCTGCTGCTCGAGCATGTGTGGAGTGGTGTGATGAAGGGCATCATGATTTGGAACCTTTCATTTTTTTTTCCCCCTTCCTAAACTGTAGGGTGTTTCCATAATTGGCCTCCTGGGAAGTGCAAATGAGTCTGATTTTCTATTTTTCAGGGCCTTCCATCTCAGGGCCACAAGTTGAAAATGTAAACAGACCCTGATTTTGTTGTCAGGAGAGGCAGGCCACATGCACACTGCTTGGGGGACATGGCTCTGAGGCCTGCGGGCTGGGCACCCTCTCCCTGCCTCCCCTAGGCCTGTGCCAGAGCCAAGACCGTAGGGCCTCCCCCATGGAATGCCCTCAGGGAGGGCAAGTTGACCTCCCAGGTGCTGTCTCCTGTGTTACCACACTCAGCACACTCCCAGCTGCCCCTCCCTCGAGACCAGACGTGGCCAGGCTCTTCTGGGTTTGGTTTGCAGGCTCGTGCTTCTTCCCATCTGGGTCCCAACTTTTGTCTTGGGATGCTCTCAGTCTCTGGGTGAAGTTGAGCAGAAGGAAAGGGATGGGAAGATATTCCAGGTGTGATAACAGTGTAAGAAAAGGCCTGGCAGGAAGGACGGGACACCTGAAGCACACAGGCACAGACCCCTCTCTGGGAGAAATGTTAGAAGGGCCAATTCAGGGTAAGAGAAGGAAAATGGAGTTTCCCCAGGCAGGACTCTGGGCTGCTCAAAGTTGGTCTTGTAGAACCAACTTGTCACACAGCCAAAGGTCAAAGATGGTTGAGTCAGAGACCTAGGCTTGGAGGCAGTCTTAGGGTGCTAATATGATTTGGATTTGTGTCCCCACCAAGATCTCATATTCAATTATAATCCCCAATGTTGGAGGTGGGTCCTGGGGCAGGTGATTGGATCATGGGGGTGGATCCTTCATGAATGGTTTAGCACCATCCCTTTTCCTCATGATAGAGTTCTCACGAGATCTGGTTGTTTAAAAGTTTGTAGCACCTCCCCTGTCCGCTATTCCTCCTGCTCTGGCCATGTAAGACGTGCCTGCTTTCCCTTTGCCTTTCGCCATAACCGTAAGTTTCCTGAGGCCTCCCCAGCCATGCTTCCTGTACAGCCTGCAGAACCATGAGCCAGTTAAACCTCTTTTCTTTATAAATTACCAGTCTCAGGCATTTCTTTATAGCAGTGCAAAAACAGATATACAGGGACCCAGTGGCAACCTCTCATTTTTCAAATGAGAGAAAATTGAAGCCCTAAGAGGCATCACATCCTCTTGAGGTCACACAGCTTGTCAGTGGCAGGGCCCAGATGAGGACTCAGGACTTCTGATGTCTTACTGAACCTCAGAAGCCCCTCCTTCCTGCACCAACCTCTGTTCACCTCCAGAGGCAGACAAGCATCCTCACCTCTCATGGGGTGGTAAGTGCATACAACTCAATTGAGGGACACTATGGCATGGAATAGAAGGTAGTTGAAGGGAAGATATCAGCACCAACCCACTGATGGGAATGTGAACAAGCCTCTAACCTCTCTGGACCTCAGTTTCCTGATCTGTCGACTGGGCTGAACAGTACCTGTCCCCTAGGGTTGTTGTGGAGATAGATGAAAAGGATGACTATAAAAGCTTCTGGTAAATATTCAGGTCATACAAATACATTTTCAAGTACAGTTGACTTATCAGCTCGGTGGAACAGGCATGCAATGTATTTGTTTTTTGTTGAGTGATTCACCTTCCTGTTGAGTGATTCAAGCTAAAAGGTCCGTATGCCCTTGGGTCTCACCACATATTCCAATGCAACCCTCAACTGTGGGTGAAGGGATTAAAGGCCTCTATTTAAATAAAATATCACCCAGAGTGGGAACACATTAAGCCATGATCATCCATTAATGGCTGAGCCTAATGAGCTTCCACATTGAAGTCCAGCTGTCACCCAGCAGGCTGGGGACTTAGGACAGATACAATGTGACGGGTAAAAGAAGCCTTCCAGGAGCCAGGCCAGGATGTAGCAGGCCCTCAGGAAGGCAGGGGCATGTGTGGCCGGATGTGGGTCTCGGGAGGAGTCCCAGGCAGTTCGGGGGGAGCAGGAAGACCCAGGGCCCTGCTGACAGTGGGGAGGAGTGGTCAAAGGGAGGGGGCACTCTTTGAAGCGGGGAAGGGGACCCAAATCTACCTTTACCAAATTTAGTTCCATAAACCCAGGGTTGGACTTACAAAGTACTCCGGGGTCCCATCACACACAGGATGAGCTTAGCAGCGTGAGGGGAGGTTGGCTTCATCTTGCCCCTCCCAGCCTCTCTGTTGAACACAGCAGACACCAGCATCCCTATCGGCCAATCCCTGTGGCCCTTCCCACGGGCCTCTAATGCCCCCTCCCCCGGGTCCCCCTCTCACAAAGTCCTTTCCCAGAGATGGGCCTGGGACCCACCTCAGGGAGGAGAACTCACCCACAGTGGCCGCCATGCCTGGGGAGAACCGGTCCTCACAGAACCTCCTCAGGAAGGACGTCTTCCCCACCGCAGAATTGCCGACGAACACAATCTTGAAGAGCCGGTCGGGGGCAGAGGGAGAGCTTTCCTCCTGCGGACGGCACACAGTCTGACCAACTGCAGGGAATGGTCCTGCCAGCCCCTGCCCCAGCCACCAGAGGCCCTTCACCCATCCCCACAGTGGCCCTCAGGGGGTGCAGACCGGCCTCCAGACCTGTACCAGGGAGGCTGCCACAGCCTCAGAATGCAGTGAGCATAGTCGGTCTTGGGGCATGGAGGCTTTTTCCAGCATCCGCAGGAGGGAGGAGAAACAGCCACCCAGGTGACATGTGCTGTCCGCCTCCTGTGGCAGGGAGGCAGAGGCCGACCCTGGATTCGGTGGGGTGGAGGAGGCAGTTCACGGATAAGGACAGCTCAGTGCTCCAAGTGCGACAGGGCACAGAGGAGGGGCCTTACCACCATGGCCTCCCAAAGTGCTGCTTTTACAGGTGTGAGCCACCATGCCCAGCCCACAATTCCTCCAAGAGGAAGCAGGAATTTTTTCTGTAGGGAAGGACAAGGTGGGGCGTTTGCAGAGAGAAGGAGAGGAGGATGAAAGAAGGCTTATCCACATCACCGGGACAGAGACGTCCCAGGTTGGGACAGGGAGTTCCTTATTTCAGCCCTATCCTTGGCAGCCTGGACTAAACGGAGGATGCTCTGGCCTCTCTGAATATTGCTCTCCATGCATCTCATCAGCTCCCATCGAGGCACCGCCATCCTCCGTGTGTAACTGAGGCACGAGGGTCTCCACTCAGGAAGCTGGGAAATGCTAGGCTGCTGGGCAAAGCTTCCCAGAGTCAGTCAGTCACTGCTGCTCTGTCTCTTGGGTCCCGCAGAGGGAAAGGGCTGGGGCACGAAAGCCCAGAGGGGAGTGAAGTTGACCTAGGACAAAAAGCAAGTAGGAGGTAGAGTAAGGAGCCGCCTTCCAGCACAGCCTGCTGCTGAGGAATGATCATTCACTCCAGGGACCTGCCACTCAACCGCAGGCATCGCGCCTTCAGGCCTAGCTCAGCGATGCCTGATCACATGGGGAGGCTCTTTTGAATCTATTTCAAAGTGAATTTGGGGTAATTAGCTCCTCTCATTAAGCAAATACTATAATGTAGTGGCAGTTGTATTAGCAGTACTTGAGTTTCAGATAAAAAGCCATTAACTGCCTTTTGGAGAGAAATCAATTCCATGCAGTATTTAGGAGAGAATTCAAGGTCAACTACAAAAATTTAAACTAAAAGTTAAAAAAAAAAAATAACCACCAACCTGCACTCAAAAACTATGCCTCCTGCCCCATTTTCTTTATTCATGCCATGCACAAGGGCACCAACTCTCTGCTGGTCCCTGTACTTTTAATTGTTATTTGTTTGAGACTAAAACTCAGTGTATCGATCTAATACATCCAAGCACAGGACAGGGCAGGGAAGGTGAAACCCAGGATGGCAGGAAACGGTCCTGGTGGGAGAGGTGTTGCCTGATCCTTAGCCCTGTGGCCACCGCCCCTCCTCAGGCAGAGCACTTTTATTTTGCCCATAGACACATCAACGGCTCAGCGTCAGGCAGGACTCACCTCACAGGGGCAGCAAACTCTCAGGTATGTTCATGCACTTAACCCACTGTCCCCTCTGGGGGACAGGCCACCTGCCACAGGAAAATAAGATGGCTGGATTGCGGGGAGGGGGCTGGAGAAGCAGTACCTGGCTGGCAAGTCAGAAGATCTCTTCTCATCCTCCCTCCTTTCATGCTTTTTAACGTAAAAAATAAGCCTTTAAAAAATAAAATTATGCTAATGTTTCAAATTAGGAAATGCACAAAAGTAGAGGGGAAATTAATTCTTCCTAATCTACCCTACCACCCTGAAGTGGTCACTATTCATATCTTTTTATTTTTTAAGAGACTGGGTCGCATTCTGTTGCCCAGGCTAGAGTGCAGTGGTGCAATCACAGCTCACTGCAGCCTTGAACTCCTGGGCTCAGAACTCCTCCTGCCTCAGCCCCTGGAGCAGCTAGGACTACAGGTATGCATCAACGCGTCTGGCTAATTTTCTTACTTTTTGTAAAGACCGGGTCTTGCTATGTTGCTTAGGCTGGTCTTGAACTCCTGGCCTCAAGCTGTCCTCCCACCATGGCCTCCCAAAGTGCTGCTTTTACAGGTGTGAGCCACCATGCCCAGCCCACAATTCATATCTTGATGCATTCCTTTCAGCTTTTTAAAATATCGTCTTTGTTTTACTTACAGAAATTTGAGATACATATAATTTTATCCTACTTTATCATATATTATTAACTTACAATTTTTTTAGTCACTAAAGATTTTTGAAAATATTTTTAACAGCTGTATAATATTCTAGTGAATTAATATACTATGCCTTATGTCCCTATTATTGGACATTTTTCTTTCAACTGTTTGCTATTATAAATAACTCTTGCATTCTTGAGTTCAATCTTTGTCTGATTTTGGTTATTTCCTTACGAAGAATTTCCAGCAGTAGAAGCGCCGGTTCAAAGAATATGCTATTTTTAAGTTTTTGATTCATATTACCAAATGGGTTTCCAGAAGGGTTGTACCAGTTTACACCTCACCAGCCTTATATGGGAGGGCCTGCTTTGCAGTAGCCTTCAAACGAGCATACCTTCCCTGCTGGAGCTGTGGTGTGGCTGCTAGTAAATCGTACTTCCTCCCTGCTGCAGTTCTGTCCCCAGCACGACGGCAGCAGGACCTTGTGGAGTGGGCACAGAAGTGAGAGAGCTCGGTGAGGAGGGCTGGGCTCCCCATCACTGTGGGCCTGGCCTCTCCCCTCTGAGCTCCAACTTTCCCATCTGTCAATGGGGAGAATAAATGTCTGACCTGACTCATCAGATAGTGGTGAGGATAAAATGCCACAGCGGATGTTTGAGCAGATGCTTGAGCCTTTTTCTTCATTCTCAGCTCCTACTGACCTCATGACACTTCTTTCACATTTTAGGGGGACATCTTGGAGTTATATAAGACCCCATTTGTACCCACCGCCAGCAAGTGTAGGTCTGTGCATTGAAGGGGATGTGGAAGGGCATGCAGGAGGGAGGGGGACTCCACATTGGTGCCACCCAGCTCTCCACTCTCCCCTTGCACCAGGGCCCTTGAGGAGTGATCTGCAGGCATGAGTCTATGGTAACCTATGCCAGGAAGTCCATTAGGTAGCTCACACCCTAAGGCAGCCACTGGGAAAAGTTCAAGGTGGCAAAGGCTCAGTTCTCAATGGCTGCGGTGGCGTGCAGGCAGGAGCCCCTTTCAGACTGATGTGGATCGTTCTAAAGCTGTTTCAGAAGGCTGAGTGCAGGATGAGGGCTCAAGGAGCCTATTCCGAGGCCTGAGTCCCAAATGAGGCAAAGAGCATCTATTACCATGAGCCAGGGGAGCCACTTTTCATACGGTCTCCCTTTTCCTACAGAATTTAGCAGGAAGGCCTGGTGGGAAGTACAGGGTCACACTGAAGAGAGGAGCAGGCAGGGAATGTCGGAATGAAAGTGGGATTCGCTGATTAAGAACCAAGAGAAAAATGATGGTATGCAAACTTTCTACAGCAGGGCCTGGCTCTGCTAAGAGCAGTTACAAAGCATGCAACTTTAAAAGTATATGAAATTGCATGCTAGGAGCCGAGCATACAGTCTATCATAAGTAGGTGCTCAATTAATGCTTTTGAATCCGAGTCAGAAGAGAGAGCACAGGGTCGGGAATGGGGCAAACAACTGTGTGATATGATGAGGTTTCTTTTCAAATAATCTGATCAATCTTTTATTCTTTAATTCACAGTACCCCCCTTCCCCCGGCTTTTTTTCTCCTTTTTTTCCTTCTTGCCTTTGTTAGATGCCCAGGCACACCACAGTACCAAGCGTTATCAATAACAGCTCACATTCTTTTCCTTATTTGGAAAGAGGACGAACTTTCTGGTTCATTACAGACACCCCTTGCCCTTTCCATCCACTTTCTTTTACGTGCTCACCCTATCTTTAAAAATCAAATGTTTAGCCAACCAGGATTAGTTTAGATTGTACGACCCAACCCCAGCCAATGGGGAAAGGGTACAGGGCAGGACTTGCATCAGAAATAAACATGCATCTCATGCCCCTTTGTTCAGGTGTGCTCTCATGGCAACTGGCCAAGGAGGCACCCCTCTGCGCAGAAGTAAAATTGCTCTGCTAAGAATCCTTTGTTCGAGTGTTCAATTTCCTAAGGATTTTGAGCGTTATTCCAAACACAATGGAGGTTTAAGGAGAATTTATCCGGACCCCTGGGTCTCCCTGCATGACACTCAGCTAAGCGGGGGAAAGTGGTATTTGGAGGACACAGATGTGGTGAATCACTGGACCTGCAGCATCTGACCTCCTGAGCTGCCTCTCCGGGCGCTTGGCCTCAAATGCAAGAGACACATCATAGAAGCGATGTCCATGAACCAACGTAGGATGAGCCCTTACCTTACACACAGCTTCTTTTCCAACAGGCTGCCCTCGGGGGGATGTGGGGGTGAGTTTCAAGGGTGGGGCCTCCTGGATTTGTCCCTGTACCCCTTGGTCAGAGACCTCTTCCTCTTCTGGGCATTTGCTCAGGGGTTGCTCAAAGCTGCCATCCAGGAGCTGGGGCAGGGGGTCTTCTTCAATGGAGATGATTCTGCGGAGAGGCCGGGGGTATGGACCCCCAGGCCCTGGCTCCCCGGTTCCTGGCTCCTCTTCTGTTAAGGGATATCCACTCAGGCCCAGGGAGCTTCTCCTTGGGATGCTAAACACCTCCTCCTCCTCCTCTGACTGGCTATTGGGGCGGGGAAGAGAGAAGAGTTGGGAGGATTTCACAAAATATTTCAACACAGGCTGCATGATGGCTTTTGTGACAAACAGATAACCAGGGAGCATCACACCTTTGGAGAAGAGCACTCTGGGAAAGGGAAGAACAAACCAGCCAGCATTCTGCAGCTCATTCACTCAACACGCTTACACTAAGTGCCTGCTGCCACTGCTGAGGCAGATGATGACACAGATGATGATGATGACGACGACGACCAAGCATTAAGTACAGATGCCATTTACAGATGGACATAATTCCTGTCCTCATGGAATACTTGATTTAGTGGGGGACTAAAGCAATAATGACACAAATAAATACATCATTTACAAATTGTGAGACTGCTATGAAGGAGAAGGAAAGGTTGTAAAGAAAGAAGTCTCAGACTCAGATACAAAGCACCCTGATTAACATTAGCAGGTGGCCTTGGCTCTGCTCCCAGCGCCAGCCATTACTAACTGTGTGTCCTTGGGTAAGACACTTCAACTCTTCAGGCCTTGCTGTAAAATGTGGCCCATCTGCTCTGTCTATTCACAAATAAGACAATACATAAAAACAGACATGTTTGCAAAACATCCTCAGCAGTGTGAGGGGTGCTGTTGCTCTGGGAGGGCCCCCCACCTCCAGATAGATCAGGTCTGCTGGTTCACAGGCAGCTGCCCCCTGGACAGGAGGCTTTGGGTCAGAAGAAAATCAGGCAGAGCATCTCCATCCACCTCTCCTTCCTCTCCCTTTCTCTTCCTCTTTCTGTATCCCTGGAAGTCAGAATCAGGAGTAAATGGTCTCAGAGGCCTAAGCACACATTTGCTTCTAGAAGCATTTGAGCACTAAGGGCAAGGAGAAGCTGTAGGCAGTGCAGGGAAGGAGGGAACTGGATGTGGGGGTCAATGCAGAGTCTGTACTTTCAGAAGGTTTTGAGAGCAAAGGCCTCACAGAAATTGTCTTAAGGGAAGTTTGACAGGGAGGACCTTAAGTCCAGAATTGAAACACACACAGACACACGCAAATACACACACACACACGCACACATGCACGCAGACTAGAAAAGAAAATGGAATGGGGATGAAGCAATGGGGCGATAGGACCAAAGGATAAAGGAACTAAATGAAGGACACAGAATATGCAGAACAGAGAAATACATTTTCTTTTGCTCCCTGATTTAAAATATATATTACTCTTAAAGATCAACAGTAGAAAGGAAAAAGAAAAAAAAAAAAAAAAGCAGGTATCACCATCCTGAAATTAACTGCGATTCTGAAAGACAAATTACAATATAGTGCTTGCTTGCAGAAAGGGTGAATTAGTTTGGATTCCCTAATATAAAAATAAAGGATTTGCAGCAATTAAAGCACCTTTCCCTTGACTTACAAAAACAGTTTTTAAAAAGTCAAGTCTTCTTTCCAGCAAACTTCCTATATATTGTATCAAGCTTATAAAGTGCTTGTTTGTTTTAGAACACAACTGGTATTCCCATCTACTTTTACTCTGTTTATACACACCAAAGTGAATATTTCTGTGTACACATGAGCAAGTAGGCACACACAGCATGTTTTTTCAAAGGCTTTGCAACCAGAAAAGAAATAGCCACTTAGATAGGCCTTAAAACAAAGCATTTATTGGAAAAAGCTTTTTATCTGGGAAATTCTCAAGCACTACTGCCATTCTATAATACCTGCACCATGGCATGACTGAGTTCATTTTTGGTTTGACCACCAAGTGCTCTCTGCCATTAGTAGGGACAGCAGCTATTTTTGGGAAAGTTTGCATTAGAATTTGGGGCTCACAATTTGTCACTTACTTGATTATTGTCTGCTTCTACCACTCAACCAGAAATTCAATGACACAGAGGTAGGTCCATTTTGCACACTACTGTATATCCAGCAAATAGCACAGCACCTCACACACAGTAGACACTCAATAAATATGTATTAAGTGAGCATTTAATAACGGAGATTAATGGTAGGACCCACGTCTAATTTATTTTTGGAGGCTTTACAGAACTTAAAAGAATGTCTGGAACACAGTAGGTAATCAGTAAACGTCTGTTCAATCAATCAGTCAATCCATTCCATTCCGAGGAACCAACGGGCCAATCACTGTTGCAGAAATTGGGCTCCCAAATTGTATCTCATTATTCAGCTATTTAGAACAAGAATTCATGATGATCAGGCCCAAAGGTTTGACTGATGAGCTGATTTACATCTCCAGAGTCACTTCCCCTTTGCATATCTTTTCATTTCATGTTTGCAGTCTTCAAGGTCTCTCTGGGTCTGACACTGAAGGGTCAGGTGCCTCTCTCTCTGTGGCCATCTATGTGGACACAGCACATGCCACAACGAAGAGCGGGCAGGGGACTGGTTTGTCTCTGAATGAGCAACAAGCCAACCCTTGGGTACTCAAGCTCAATCATGTGCTGCCCAAGAGCAACAAAATGCGTTACGTTTGAGTTAATTAAATATAAGTCATTGAAACGATCTGTCAAGCACAGGCCCCAGTCTTGTCTGTGAAAGGAGTTAACTATTGGAGATTCTATTTGACACTTTAATTAACCTTCATAGCCAATATAGTCATATTCCTAAAAACCCAAGTGCATCGGCCAGGCACGGTGGCTCACACCTGTAATCCTAGCACTTGGGGAGGCCGAGGCGGGCAGATCGCAAGGTCAGGAGTTCAAGACCAGTCCTGGCCAACATGGAGAAACCCCGTCTTTACTAAAAATACAAAAATTAGATGGGCGTGGTGGCGCACCTCTGTAATCCCAGCTATTTGGGAGGCTGAGGCAGGACGATCGCTTGAACCTGGGAGGCAGAGGTTGCAGTGAGCCAAGATCGTGCCACTGCACTCTGGCCTGGGCGACCAAGCAAGACTCTGTCTCAAACAACAACAACAACAACAACAACAACAACAACAACAACAACTCCAAAACTGAGTGCATCCATTCTGCTCAGCGACAACAGTGTTACCCAGCTACACACTCCATCTCTCTCTCCCTTGACCCCTCTCCTCTGCTGCTACACAGTCCCTCTCTGCAGACACACAATAGGGTCGGGCAGCCTCAGAAGGCAGTGGTCTGTCCTGGGGGGTTTGCTCTGCACATTACCCTCTGGCTTGGATGTCAGAACAGGGAGGGGAATGTGTTCCAAGATTTGAGGGGAGTGAGTGCAGCTGACCTCAGTTTCCTCACCTTTCAAGGGGTCAGCAGGCACTGAGTGTGGGCCCAGAGCCAGCTCTCAATGAGCCCGACATTAAAGAAGGGATGAGCAAGTGGAGATGACTTACCTCCTAAGAATCCCTCTGCCGTCCACATATTTGCCTATCACGGAGCCAGATCTCTTTTTCCAGCTTGCCCTGGAAGCAGCTGTGTTTGCCTTGGCTGCCTTATTTTTCTGTAGAAACACAAAATGCCCTTAGATCCATGCCTATTTGCCCTGATGTTCGAACAGAAAAGGGCTCAAGATTCCCACCTCACAGATTAGGCTCTACACAAAACTCTGAAGGAAGTAAGCAGTATTCTGGTCACCCCGTTAGCATTTACCCACTCTTCCCTTTCGCCAGCATCCCTTACCAGAATCCTTCCATCTCCTTTCCAGTTATCTCATCAAATGAACAAATACACAGTTTATAGCCTGGGGTCCATCCTGTTATTCACAGGAGCACTGATCATTTGTAAAAGGAAAAAGAAGAAGAGATAAGTGTTTAATGCATATTTTCTACACATATTTCTAATGCACATAGAAAATATGCATTAAACATTTATCTCTTCTGAAAAAACATATCTATATTTTTGAAACAGGGTCTTGCTCTGTCTCCCAGGTCAGAGTGCAATGGCATGATCACAGCGCACTGCAGCCTCAAACTCCTGCACTCAAGCAATCCTCTAGCCTCAGCCTCCTGGGTAGCTAGGACTATAGGCGCCCTACCATGCCTGGCTAATTTTCTCATTTTTTGTGGAGATGGAACCTTGCCATGTTGCCCAGGTTGGTCTTGAATTCTTGGCCTTAAGTGATCCTCCTGTCTCACTCTCCCAAAGTACTGGGATCACAGGAGTGAGCCACCATGCCTGGTCAGACAGAAAAAAGAAAAAATATTTACAGGTATAAAAAAACTCTGTGAATCTTTAATTCACACTCTTCTGTATGGCTCCAATCGCTTTTTATTTCTAAAGTCTCAGATGTAATGAGAAAGTAACTAGCCAGGAGGATCAATTAACTCAGTGTTCTGTCCATGTAACTCCTGAATACCATAAGGCAGTTCAGCTTTTTGGTGGAAGTAGGCTGGGTGTAGATAAATTACTAACATCTGTAACACAGAACCTGGGTGGAGCAGGGGTTTACAACCCCCTTAGCCTATGCTCCCTGACAGACGTCTTCCAGGAGATGAGGCGGGGGAGTTAGACTGCAGGAAATATCTCTCGTTAATTAGCCATCCCATGATTCCCAATGATCCTTAATGAGAGGAGGGGCTGCAATGCTCCCAGAGCCCCGGAAGGTATGGCTATGCTGATTCCAAATTCATCTTCAATTCTTATTCAGTTTGTCCCTCTTTCTTTGATTCCCCACAGAAGTTCTGTAATTCCATGCCCCTTTCAAAGCAGAATCAGTTTGGCAGGTAAAGGGGAGGGAGGTGAAGGGATTAGGGTGACATTTGGTTGGAAGTTTTAAAATAAGTTCAGTGTTACTTCTAAAACAATGATAACCATTATCATCATCAAACAAACATGTGTAGGCTTAAGTCTTGCTCTAATAGTACACATAGGTGGGTGGCAGAGATGTTTGCTGCCAGTAAGTGATGGAAAAGAAACTGTGGCGTGATGCGGTCCCTCAGGGATGTGCGATTATAAAGCAGGTCAGATCTAATGTAGGGCAAATCAGCCGCCTTCTGCTGACCATATCTAGGTCACTGTTCAGCTAAGGGTCCAATACACAACAACATCCCCTTTCCAAGAATCTTTCTCAAAGATTCCTATTGTATGGAGCGGGGATGGGAATTCACTTTCCTCATGTGACAGTGGGGGTCATGGTCCAAGGTGGTAAATGACTTGCCCAGGGACACACATGAAATTCGTAGGATGGTCATCCTGATAATTAGGAAGTCACATCAATCAATTTGGCCTTCAGTTTTCTTCCCTTCAGAGCACCCAGTGGCTCCTGTTTAAAGGGGAAGATGAGTAACAGCATGGAATCCTAGGTTTTAGCCAATGTGGTCCACAGTGAAGGCCTTTAAATAAATATAGGATTTCACATCATTTAGGAAAGTATATACAGATATATAAAAACATACATATATACACACACATACACACATTATATACACACACTATATATATACTACATATATATATATATATAGAGAGAGAGAGAGAGAGAGAGAGAGACATGGTACTCAGGTATGGAAGAGTAGGGGTCCCTATAGGATAGAGAAAAATTGTTCATAAAATCAAGTATGAAAACAGTGAAATACACATTTCTAATGTGGTCTATGACAGTATAAAAAGGAAAATTTTCAGTGAGATAAAAATTTAAATGAAGAAGCAAGCTGTGAGCATTTTGGTTTAGAAGCGATAATGACATTTCAACTGCGCCATCTCATGGATAGAACTATCATTTCTGCATCCAAGAAATATGCGACCCTCCCAAATATTTTAGTCTTGTTGTGCCAAGAGGAAACCGCGTTACTGTTAACGCACTGTTACCCAGCAGGCCACCCTGAATTTTTATTAATTGCAAAATGTTTTTATGCTATCATCCTGCCAAATAGATCCCAAGTGTCAGGACATCGCTGGGCCAGTCTCGACATGGATCTGGCTGTCCAGTGGACCACAGCCCTTGGTCCCCCACAGGTAAGGGAGAACTGGCCAATTACCTGAAAACATATGTCCCGTTCATCCCGAAGGTGCTTGTTCCTTTCCCTGTGGATGGTAAAGGGGAATCTATTCAAACACGGAGTTTGCAGTTGACAGATCCAACGGCAGCCAATTCGCTAGTCAGATGGGTGCAGGGGAAGGTGTGGTGTGGAAGACCAGGGAGTCTGTGGAATCTCCTTCCGCAGGGATGTGATTAATGGCAGAGGATAGTTTGTGTGTACAGATAGGTACACACCGACGTGGGGGATAGACTGAATGCCCTTGAGACACCCATGGCCCACCAGGATGATGCATGGCCTCTCCTATTATTAGGGGCACCACCTCTAGAGGGGACCCCAGCATTCCAGCTCCACCTGGGAGCTTCCCACTGAGCTCCCTCTTTCTTTCTCTCTGTGCACCATTCATTCATCCATTCATGCACGCACGCACGCGTTCACTCAAACGTCTCCTGAGCACCCACTGCATGTCAGGCACTCTTCTAGCCGTCAAAGTCACGCCAATGACCAAAACAAAAACTTCCTGCCTCACAGAACGTGTATTTTGGTGGAAGGATATCCGTTATTGAGAAAATAAAGCGGGAAAGTGGAGTAAAAGAAGCCAGAGGGTGGAGCAGTATTTCAACTACGGTGGTCAGTGACGCCCTCACTGACAAGACAGCATTTGTGCAGAACCTTGAAGGAGTGGGAGAAGCATTCCAGGCAGAGGAGAGGCTAGGGCAAAGCCTTGTGCTGGGATACACCTAGTGTGAGCAAGAAACAGAAAGGAGGAAGTAGAAAGCCCAAAGGGTAAGTAGTTAGGAGATGAAGCCAGAGAAAAAGTGGATGGTGGTCAGGACCTGCCTCTTCACAGCCCTGTGGGCCACTGTACGAACTTTTTATTTTTACTCCAGATGAGATATGAAGCCAAGGGGCTGGGGGCGGTGAGGGTGAAGCAGCTGGCAAAGGAATGTCAAGATCTGGCTCCACTTTTCAAAGGATCCCCCTGGATGTGGTGCTAAGAATAGACTGCCGGGGCAAGCGTGGGGCCCTGACACTTGAGGAATATTTTTAGTAACATGGAGGTCACTGGCCACTGGGGTAAGAACTGTTTTTGTGGAACAGCAGGGGGGAAAAGGCCTGACTGGTGGGTTGAGAATGTGAAGAAAAGGAGTGGAGACAGTGAATGTGAACAACTCTTCTGAACATTTCGTTGTAAAGGGGTTGAATAAATGGCAAGTAGCTGGGTGGGGAAGTGAGGACAAGAGATGTTAGATAAGAAAATTAGAGTACCTTTGTAGGTATCTTCAAAAGAGATAAAACTGACAATGGAGGAGAGAAAGAACTAACGCTGGAATAGTCCTTGAGGAGCCGGGAAGGGACGGACTCTGATTCTAGAGTGTGAGTTGGGCACAGGGGTTGGGGGTGGCCTCTGTGATGAGCATGGGGAGTACATCCACTGTAACAGAGGAGAAGGCAGAGATATAGGCATGGGAGGAAGCTCTTATCGAATGGTTCCAGCTGTGAAACAGGAGCAAGCGTGAGGATGGAAAAGGAGGAGTCTTTTCTCCAGGACTTAAAGTAGGAGCAGTTGGGTAAGTGAGTTGACTGGGTCTGCTGTGCGACGGCGGAATGCACTTGGGGTTCACAACTGGGAACTTCATCCATTAACACAAGAGGTGGAGAGGGCAGGCCAGATGACTTCAAAGTGCTTAACAGTTTTGTGATTCTATGACTCTCTGGCCAGCGGCCTCTGAACAAACCTACACTTCTGAAGGGAAAGGGAGGGCACAGCCATGGTTAGGCCCTAATCATCACAACGCTGCCATTTATGGGGGCACTGACTGTGGGCCAGGCGCTCTGCTAAGTGTGTTGTACACTATAGAAAGAGATTTTAGGTGGGGCCTGAGGAGTCACCACCAGGGCGACTGACTTCCAATTCCGCCAGTCTTACAGAAAACATTAGGAATGTGCCAGGGTGGTTTTCAGTTACCTGCATGAGGTGAGCAGGCAGGCACACAGCCAGGGCCTTCAGAACAAGTCAGGAGGGACATGGAGGTTATTTTACAAGTCCTGAGAATGGCAAAGTGAGCTGCTCATGCCAGAGGGACCCTCACTCGGCATGGAGCTGTGAGTTAGCACCCTTGCACCTGAGTGAGGACCTTGGGAGACCTGGAAAGTCCCACCATTTTTGGAAAGCATGCTGCGTTGTTTCTTCCTTTGTGGCTTCCTGCTTTATGTGGATGTGGCCATTCCCACACAGAAGCCTCAGTATTTAAAGAAACATATCTGCTTTTGTTCACATCGCTGCTCTACTGTAATTCCTACTCACAAGTAGCATCTTATTCTCAAAAGAACCCTGTAAGCTAGGCATGGGAAAATTAAGACTCGGATTGGTTAAGTCAACTGCCCAAGGTCATACAAGCGAATGAGAGGAAGTGCTGGGTTTTGAATCAGATCCAGCTTCAAAGTGCTTGTTCCTAATCAAGTGCCCTGAAATTGCTCGTGTTTGCACCCACCGTCCTTCGGATGGCAGCCCTTCTCACCCCGTCATACCCCAGCTGTCGTCCTGATTCCACCACCATCCCACCCCTGCCCTCCCCCGATATTCCCGCTATCCCCCACGCCCACTGCAGCATTCTCTCTCCCTTGATTCCTGGTGGTTTCACTGTGAGGGAGAGATGTGCCATGATGCCTTCCCTCCAGCTCTCAGCTTTCATTAGCCAGCGGGACTTAAGCTTGGTAACCCTGGATCGATGGCACAGGAAGGTCCCTTTGTGATTCTGCACAAATGCTAGCCTCCATTAAAAAGACCCGTACGTATTTGTAGAGAGCTGCCTTGGCATTCTCCCCTGCGCATTCTCTTTGAATCTACCCTTTCATTTTTTCCTCAATGCGATAGAAAAAGAAGACCCCAAACTTGTCCTTATCCATTTTGTTCTCTTCCTTTTACTCAAGCCTTCCTGAGAATCAAGACCTTCTCGCAAATGGATCACAACTTGGTCACCTAAGAACCCCCCTGCGTGTTCCCTGGCTCTGGAGGCCTGACCGAATCATGTATTGAGCACAGTCGATCTGCAACGCATTCAGGTTGAAGCACTTTTCCATTTGGTAGCATCATAGATGCCAGACAGAGTGAGCATCCCTTGCTTTCACAAAAACAAAAACCTTCATAACATAACTGGGAAGTGATTCAAAACCACTTGCACTTCAAAAATCAGAACCCAAAGTCCTTCTGTTTCCTCACCATTCCCCCAGAGGTGCCCAGCCGGCAGCGACTTACAAACATCACGGGCAGCACCAAAACTTCCATCTTTCCCCGCACAGGTTTGTGTTTCTGAGGAGGGGAGGGTGGTGCACATTCCAGACCCGTCGACTTTGAGTTTATTGCTGGGGGGTCTCTGAAGGCTGAGGAAGCTTTTTCTTGGTGCTCTGTTTGCGATTCATTTACTCATTCAACAAACACGAACAGAACACAGCCAAGTTACAGATTTCCATTCTGGCCCTATCAGCGAGGAGCTGCGTTGCCTGTGGTAAATCACCTCATTCCTCGAATATCAACTTCCCCATCAGTTAATTCCTGTGAATTAACCACCCTACTCACCTAACAGTTTTGCTGAAGATGAAAGAGATAATATTTCTGGCATAGATTAAATGCTCAATAAACCCAGCTCTGCTCCCAGGTGATCCTGTACCAAGCATGGTCCTGTGAGGGACTCAGAAGAGTGGGGCGGAGCCGCTCCACCAGGAGGAATACACTGGATATGGGCGCACGTGTAAATGGACCACACATAACACAGTGGCTACTCAGTGGTCCAAACACTGCGTTGGGGACCAAGGGAATGAGGGCGCTCTCCGCAGGCATATTTTTCTAGCACGTAGGCAAGGATGACCCTCAGACTGGTCCTTCTGACCCCAGGCTTCTGGAAGGTGCTCTCAGCACAGGCCAGTGCCCACCGACGCACCTTAGGAAATCCAGCTGCTTGAGGAGCCCGGCCTTCTCGCGCTGTAGACTCTCGGTCACACGGTACACTTCCCTGAGGAGGAGGCAAACACACTGCGGTGAGCTCCCAGGTGGAAGCCGGATGCCCAGACCCCTCATGCTGGAGACTGGCAGGCGATGCCGCGCCGGGGACGGAGGGCGTTGGAGGAACGTGGCCTTCCCTTGGAGAGCTCCTGTGGTTTGCAAGTGCTTTGGGCATTGCATGTGTCCAGTTTGGGAGGTGAACTTACCCTCAATTTATAGACTGTGACCATCAGAGAAGTCTGCTGAATCTCTGCAGTTCACACAGACAATCCGTGACTGAACCAGGGTCCCCTCCTACCCCCAGACCCAGCTCATTCCACAGCCACTTCACGTGCCACCTATGAATAGGCTGGATGGTCACTAAAGAGTCTGTCCAGGCTCCAAACTGCCCTATCCTATCCAGACTTCAGGGAATTAGAATCAATATTCTTCTCCAGCCAGATCTTGAAGGGTGAGAGCAGAATTTGTATTACCTTCCCTCCCATTCTCGCCCCACCCAGAGGCTGGCGCGGTATGTTTTTAGGAGCTCTGGAAGAACCACCTTTTCTTTCCCACCTTCCTCCCAAAGTCCCCAGATATCTGGACTTTTCACTATTGGGCCTTCATTTCTCTGACTTATGATCCAGCTGTAATGCAGAATTGAATGTATCTATTATAACCATGTATATCACTGTGCAAACGTGTTAATTGTAACAGGAGTTGTGAGGAAGGGGAGAGAGAAGCAGGGAGGCTGTGAATCAGGGCAACTAGAGGGCAACTCAGGTGGGGAGGTAAGGGCTGTGTCTGGTTTGCTGACATTGATATCCTGGACACAGCGCCTGGCGTGGAGGTGTAATCAGCAAATAGGTGGAGGAAGAAAGAAAAGAGAGTAAAAGAGGTGAGGGGGAGCAAAGAAGGAAGAAAGGGAGGGAAGGAGGAAGACAGGAAGGAAAGGATGAAGGAAGGAGGAAAAGAAGGAAGAATAAAAGAGGAAAGAAGGATGGGGTAATGGGGGAGTTCTTCAGCCTCACTCAGGGAAGAAAGGAAAGGAAAAAAATAAGAAATTGGGTGATATTGGGAAACTGGCTTAACTTCACAATTCTGTCTTCATTTTTCCTTCTCTGTTCTATACCATGCTTTAGACAATTTTTAACTGCTCTCCGATCTTACTACAAGGGTCTATAGTTCCACGTTTCCAAACTGCAGCACAGCTTTTCACGTAGGAAGCATCTTGCAAGTTGATACAGGCGTCACTTCCCATGGGCTGTCAGGGCTGCCAGGCTGTGCATACACTGGGCTGGGCAAGGACCCCTCTGCCACCCCATCCATCTCATTACTGAGCTGGCAGAAACAGCACCAACATGCTTGTCCACAGGACTCTCCTGCCAAGCTCCTAATAACCTGATTCCTTCAGCATGATGTTTCTCTTTTCCCCATTTTATAGAATAATTGTAAAGTCAATTTACAGCAATAAGAGGCTGAATGAAATTCTAAGTTCAACTCAGACAATTCCAATTAAGCAACAAACCTTCTCTGGCTCCTGCAGAGATGCAAATTCTTGACATTTTATTACCGATTATATTTAATTTCAACTTGAAGAAAAACAATGTATTTCCCATCATCCAAACTGGGTCTCTAAACCCCTGTCCGGGACTCTGCTCTGATGAGCGCTCTGTGAGCAGAGCTGCCTGCTCCCGACTCCGGGCCCTGGGAGCTGAAGATCCTGGTGCTGTACTTTAGGGTCCCCCCACCCCACCCTGTGTCCTGCCTCTCTCCAGGGGTGGCCAGGAGCTCACAGCTTTTCCTCTGCTCAGGAAAATCATTCACCAGGGACTTAAGGTCTGGGTTCTCACAGAGTATTTTACCAAATAGCCAGTTCCCAAATTCTAAGTCTTCTCTGGCTCTGCATACACAGCACCAGTGACCATCAGGGCTATATATACACACATTTGTATTAGAAATACATGTGAACACATGTACTGTTCTGTTTGTCTAGTAAACATATATCTGCTTGGATATTTGTACATCCATATATACACACATATATTCAGAAATATATTGTTGTGTCAACAAAAGAAAGGCACTTCTGGAAAAAAAGACACTTAGATATTTGACTGAATGACCTCTAAAGTCCTTCTAACCTAGAGGTTCTAAAAGTGTGTACATGGGTAATATGTAAACTGAAAGGGAAAGAACCTGCTGTTGTTTGGAGTAGTAATTGGTGAGGTGTTTATGGTTACCCTTAGGGGAACTGCTGTTGGCTTTGTTTTAGGGGAGAGATGAGCTATGGAGCACTTCACAAGACATATTGTCAAGTGAAAAATGTAAATGCAGAACAGTATGCTTAGTATGCTACTGTTTTATAAAGGAAAAGTGTGTGTGTGTGCATGCGTGTGCACGTGTGTGCACGCACATATATGTATCTGTGCCTGCATATACATACAGCATACTCTGAAAGGATCCACAGGAAACCATGACCAGTGGCTCTGATGACTGCAGATCGGGGCTGTGTCGGGGACACAGACTTCTTTTTGAGCATATAACCTTTTGTGCCTTTTGAATTGCGTGCCTTGTCATAACTACTTACTCAAAATAAAAGTTAATTAAAAAATAAACAGAGAGTTGCTGCTTCTCAGCTGACCTTCATCTTTATATTACCTCTCTGCTTGATAGTTCTTTCTTTATCTCATTTTAAAATCTACTTCCGCTACCTTGAGCATCTTCAGAGATCAGGAAAATTAATTTTGCCTGTTCAGAATTCTTGCTGATCAGTGACTAAGCCTGTTTACCTCCCAGCTCCACCCTTTCCTCTCCCAGCTGCTCTGCAGTAGCACGAGGCAGCAAGACCCTGTGGGAGAGCCCGGGACTATCAGGAGAACCGGGCTCCGTCCCTGTTATCCAGCACTAACTAGCTGTGCGGCTTTGGGCCCATCACTACACCTCTCTGAGCCTCAGTGTCTTCATGTATAAAATGAGTGTGAGTCAGTGCGCCTGGCCCAGGATGATTTAAAGATCAAATGAGAGGATGTCAAATGATCGACATAAGTGAGATATATTGAATGCCCAGCACGGTACCTAGCACAGAATAAATATTTTCCAAATGAAGAAGTCATTGACTCTATGGATAAATGAATATACAAATAAACAAAGGAGAGTCCTCTGCCCTGAGCCTCAGAGTACATGTGTTCTAAAACCTAAGACTACCAAGACAAGATAAATGGCTGATTCTTCAGGGACTCCTCCAGGTGAACCAGAGCATCAAAGTCCTCTCCATCTGCCGGTCTGCAACCCTACTCTATGGAGAACAAGCCAAGCCTCTCGCTGCACTGCTCTCCCGGCCTCCCTGGACGGGACATGCTCTCCAGGCCCCAGCATGCTCCCCGGCTACACAAGAAACTTCAAGCTTCTTGAATACAAGTTGTGAAGGTTCTGGAGTCATATTTCTCTCTTCCTCCCAATCCTCCCTCCCTCCCTCTTTTTCAATTCCCAGCCTCCAGAGATTGTGTCTCTGGCTTGGTTAATTAAGATAAGACTTCAGAAAGCTTTGAATCCTCACGCTGTGATGTGACGCTCCAGCACTGGGTGTTTATTTCCATTTGCTGTTCTAATGCTTGTGCCTTCAGATGTTTGTTGCTTTTAGAGCTTGATTGAATTTTAAGAGCCTGCATCCTTAATTCTGTTTGTAAAGCTAAACGCCTGTACCTTGTTGACCTGTTCTCAGTGAGGAGGAACTGATTTTGCTTGTTCACAGTGAAATATGTTGTCCTTCCACAACTGGCCATCCAAGAATTGGGATGGAGGGGCTTAATTTCAGTCAGCTACTTGGGAGCTCTTTGTTTTTGTTTTGTTTTAACTGGAGACATCTTACTAGGGTGAAATTTCCAGCCCAAACACGTCTCCTTCCTTTTACCCCAGGCAATTAACACCAAACGGTACAGGATTCCACACAGAGGTCACACCAGCACAGCAGTTTTACGTAGGCCTGTGGACCAAAATCCTGCCAGCAGCCACCCAGAGTGAGCACCTTCACTTCTGAACAAGGGGAGTTGACATCTATAAAACAAGTTCTGGCACGTAGCACTGCCCTTTTCCCTAAAATCGGACTTTCGGTACTACCTGGTACCTTTCAGGATCAGGCACACAATTACTTTTTTCAGAATAAATGAATGAATGAAGAGTGCATGAACGAATGTGTGAGTAAATGATAGCCAGTCCGACTCTTGTAAGGATATTTTCTGCAGGCTTGTTATTCTCTAGGGAAAATCGGCAAGATGTGTCTAACTCTTGGCATCTTGGGATAGTTACTTAAACCTCTGAACCTTAGTCTCCTCCTCGATAATAGCAGAACCTGCCACATCAGGATTTTTTTTTTTTTTGAGACAGAGTCTTGCTCTGTCGCCCAGGCTGGAGTGCAGTGGCACGATCTCGGCTCACTGTAACCTCTGCCTCCCAGGTTCAAGCCGTTCTCCTGCCTCAGCCTCCCGAGTAGCTGAGACTACAGGCATGTACCACCACGCCCGGCTAATTTTTGTATTTTTAATAGAGATAGGGTTTCATCATGTTGGTCAGGCTGGTCTCGAACTCCTGACCTCGTGATCTGCCCACCTCGGCCTCCCAAAGTGCTGGGATTACAGGTGTGAGCCACCACGCCTGGCCCAGGATGATTTAAAGATCAAATAGAGGATGTCAAATGATCCACATAAGTGAGATATATTGAATGCCCAGCATGGTACCTAGCGCAGAATAAATGTTTGCCAAATGAAGAAGTCATTGGCTCTATGGATAAATGAATATACAAATAAACAAAGGAGGGTCCTCTGCCCTGAGCCTCAGAGTACATGTGTTCTAAAACCTAAGACTACCAAGACAAGATAAATGGCTGATTCTTCAGGGACTCCTCCAGCTTAAGGTGCAGACCCAGGCTTGATTCTGCCTCAGGTGTGCCTCTGCCTATAAACTAACCCCCATGGTTGGACACCATTGGCAGGTCGGGCCCTGAGAGATGTGGGTTTCTCCCTACTGGGACCACACAGTTGAATCTGAGGAACATGGTGAAAAAAATGGGCAGAGATGGACAGGCAAGTCTAGGACAGTGACACATGCTCCGTCAGATCATATGCTGATCCCGGAAGCCTTCCTGCCTCCCTCTGGTCCCCCTTGGCCTCTCAGGTCTCTACACGACGACAGTTACTTAGGGTCTGTCTGCTCACTCAGCATTTGCCCACAGACTCCCTCATATTTGTTTGTGTAATAACATCTCTTTCTAATCACAGAATGCATTTTCTGAGAACAGGGCTGTACATTTCTTGTCAATCCCAGGCAATGCTGGACACAGAACTGGTCTGCTTCACGGGGTCAGAATCCTAGAAGAGTGTTAGAAGAGTCTCAGGGAGCCACAAGCCCAAATCCACACTTCACAGGCCAGGAGACAGGGCCTCTGAGCGGCGAGGGGACACGCCCATAGTGGGGGGGTGGTGCTGGAGGACAGCAGAGGAGCGGACAAAGGCTGGACTCACATCTCCTTCTCCTGGTGGAGTTTGCAGGCCTCTTGCTGAAGGCTTTCCAGCTGCTGCTGAGCATCCTGGAGCTCCCAGGAGGTCCGCTCCAGCTCCCGGGCCAGCTCCTGGTTGGTGAGTTTCAGCTTGGTATTCTCAGCCTTGGTCTCATGCTTGTCATGATGCAGGGCTGTGCACTGACCTTCCAGCTGCAAAGGAATGGGGAGCAGAGGGGAATGAGGAGTGACCACCATCTTCAGGAGGACCTGCCCTGGCCTCACCTTGCTTTCCCCGCTTGGCAGGCAGGAACCGTCACTGCCACCCCTCACCGGCCTCAAGCCTAAATCGGCATTGTCCTCGCCTCAGTTCACACATACACACTCCTCTAGGCAGGAAGGAGCTTTCAGAGCACATCTTGTCTCTCCCCTGTCTCCACACAGGATCACTAAATAGTCCAGGAGGAACTGCTCCACTCAGAAAGACCACTAACAAAGGAACTTCCACAGTCCGTCCGTGTGAATGGCCTTGAGATCTAACCTAAATCCGTCTTGTTGTCCTTTAAGCCAATTTCTTTTCCTTGGTCCTTGATGGAGAAGGGGAACAGCTAAATGGCCTGCTTCATAAAACCATCCTTCCCAATTTCGCACGCTGATAGTAAATCTATATATTCCCTTTTCTCCTCTCAACTCCAATTCCATTAATCTAGAGAAGCTTTTAAGGGTAGCCGGAAGCCCTGAAAATTCTTAGGAAATAACTAAAACAGTTCAAACAGAACATAGACCTTTTCTATGTCTCTAAAGTAACTAAAAACCTTGCATTTTTATAGCTTCAGCTTTTCTTGGCTGTTGATTATGCTGTGCAGAGCTTCTAATCCTCTCACCAGAGGAAGAATCAAACCAAGGTACATATATCATAATAAATTTAGTTTAATGAATGTGGCCAGTAAGGGGAGGAAGAAGTAACAACAAGGAATTTGGTGTGATTCTCAAGAGGCTCCTGTGTAATCAGGCAAGCATGCAGTAATTCCATCGAGTGGCAATCATTCATTTGAGGGATAAATCTAATTGCTAGGAACTCAATGCACAATAGAGAGGAAGAGAAGGAGTAGGAGAAGCAAGGTACAACTGTGGATGGAGAAACGGGGAGGCAGCTGGCAGTTCCCGGAGTAGAAATCGTCTTGCTGCAGAAGGAAAGAGACCTAAATTCGTAGCTTGGGTAGCAGCAGCAGTGGAACAGTCTCTTGTCTTAGCAGGGCTGTCTTCAAGTAGATGTTAATGTGCTGCTAAAAATAACCCTCTCTATTGAAATGGAAGCAACGTGTCCTGGTCTGTCCAGAGCTGGATTCCTTCCGGCACCGGGCACAACAAAACAGGAGGCCAGTGGCACGCCAGCCCGTCTCCCTCAGGAGCCCTTGCTAAGGAGTGGAGGCTGCTAAGTAGGAGGCTTGCCTAGGCAGTCAGTCTTTCTGGGCTCATCAGCCAGGCACTCCTGGCCATAGAGACGCTGCCCTGCAGAGCGCACCACCCAGCCTGCCTCCTGGAGGCTCAGGTACATCAGAGACGAGTGCCTGGTGTCTGCATTCTTCCTGCAGGGATGGGAGTAGCCACAAAGGATGCCAACGACCCTGTCCAGGCACCACACGACCAGGGAAGACACAGGCTGACTTCGGAAGCGCCTGTTCCAGCAGAGGCATCCATGACCATTCTGGAGGGAAGAAACTTATCTGTGGCCTCCCGCCAAATATCGTGGTAGACAATGTCTCTTGTACCTCGGCATTCCCCTCTTTTCTTATACAGGAGGCAGGAAACAAATTCCAGTTTTGGCATTCTTGTGGCTCCTGGGTATAATTATAGGAACATGTCTGCAGATACCTCATGGGGGAATGCTTGGCAACTTTTCCAAGTTAAACACCTGGTATTGGAGAAGTAAAGGTTTTATCTTGGGATCACCTGTGATTGTAAATGCTATCTTTTGTACAACTAAATCGTTCTTCTCAGGTTAAAAAAAATCAAAAGTCCTTAAGTGAATGGCAGGGAAGGTGGGCAAGAGGCAGAGGAAAGGATGGAGAGAAGAGCCAGGTACTCTGAGGCCATGACAGCAACATACCCTTTTCTGCTTCTGGGTGAGCTGCTCCAGCTCCTGCTCCTTACATAACAGTTTCTGTTCCAGCTCTTGACTGCGGGCTTGAAACCTCTCTGTGTCCTGCCAAGCCAGAAAGAGGGATACACAGGACCCAAATGTAGCATCCCTGGGTTATAGATTTCTTTTCCCACCTTGAACCTACTCAACATCAAAACCCATCCTATTAGACCACGGGGCTTTTCCCACAGCACTGCAGGGCTCTGGTAACCTGCCTGCCCCATCAGGGAGGACCAAATGAGACAGAGAGAGTGCAAGCACTTAGTGAGGCAGGATGCAAACTCCCAGCAAGCATGGCCATGTCCAGTGGCTGTGCACCGCCCCCCTCCTCTCTACCAAAAAAAGGAGCAGTGTCAGCCAACGGTGGGATACTGAACGGGGAGAGTTGGGGCCTGAGTTCAAACATCAGGCCTTGGTCTCCTCATGTGCAAACTGGGGGAGGCAGATGACCCCTCGGACGCCTTCCGACCTGGATACTCTGTTCGAGGTTGGGCACTGGCATCGGATCCCTTAAATTGGCCTCACTCTGGAAACACAGGGCCATTACCTGTTCCTCTTGAGGGTCTAAGTGTTCATATTTTCCCACTGTGATTGAAGTCTCCCGGGCCCTGCTCCTCAGGATGTTTTAATATCTGCTCCTTCCCTAGGCTGGGCTTTCCCCAGAGAGAGGTGTTGAAGCAGGTGAGAAGCGGCCTGGCTGTGGGATGGGGAGGAAAGTGTGTGGGCCGTCGGGTGCCTGATGCTCTCAGCAGAGCCAGATCTGTGGTGTAAGGGCCCTGAGCCGAGCGGGACACAACTTGGGTTCTGGCCCCGGCTTCACCCAACTAACTTGCTTCATTCTTCTGGATCACTGTTTGTTCACAGAATAGAAACAAAAATACCCATGCCATCTGCAGCACTGCACTTGCCTGAAGGCGGAATGGAGGCACAAAATGTGCAGGAAGAGAAGAAACCATTGTAACTGCCATATAACTCACTACCGGAGCCCCCTGGGGTTCCTGAGATACGGAAGGACTCTCTCCCAAGGAGGACAGCGTGGGATGCTGCACTAGACGCGTGTCCTGGCAGGACAGCGGCCGCAGCACGGTGGTGGAGCACGGCCCCCTCGGGCCAGAGGCCTTTGGACACCTCCACTCAAAGGCTCAGGGTGTTTCCTTGTGCATCCTCTGTTGATGTGACCAGGTTCTTCTGCCCATTTTTAGGCAGGTAAATGGGCAGAAGAACCACAGGGACAGCCTGTGATTATCCTCACGTTAACCACATGAATGGCAGAGGTACGATCTGACCAGACAGCACCTGCTCCCAACATTTGCTTCCAGAGAATCAGCCCCAGAGAATCTGCCTCCTTCAGCTTGGCTGCTGCTCCCCGTGAAAAATGCTGGGAGCGGCGAGAGGCTCCAGGATCCCCGTGATGATGTGGCTGCACCCCCAATGGGCCTACAGAGCATCCTCACAATGCACCAGGACAGAGCGTTGAGGTGGTCTGGCATCACATCCTGGGGTTGGAAGGTGCAAGTGATTAGGTACTTCCTTCATGGTCAGACAAACTGATACGTGTCAAGCCAGGACCCAAATTCTGGTCCGAGGGTTCAACCTTTTCCGTGATGTCAGAAACTGTAGCACCACTATCCTTGATCTATCGCCAGGCAAAAGCCTTTGTATCTAATGGCTTAATAGTGCTGCAAAAACATCTGAGCAGTTTCCATGTTCATGCAAAAGGCATAAATCTAAGCACTGAGCTTTAAAGGCATTTGGTGTCAAGGGGGGAGAAGGAGGGAGCAGAAGGGGACAGGGAGGCTGGATCACCTGCAGTGACACAAACTTGTCCTTGAATTTTTTTCCTGTGACCTCTGCCCTTGCCCATCCCCCATGCCCTGGCCCAGCATTTGCTTCTGAAATCACGTCTTTTCCTTTAGCTAGGACCTCTGACCTGTAGTCATGGCCCGGGCAGAGGGGACAAGATGCCCCATGGAGCTCAGCCTCTCTGTGCAGGGTGTCATTTGGGATAAAGAGGGTGACTGTCCTATGGTAGGGAGGTGGGGTGGGGAGCTGCTGTTCTCAGAAACGATTTTGGGGTCTGCTGGTGAGAAGTGTGTGAGTTCTGTCTGCCATCAACCAGGTTGAGGGGCAGGAGCAGCCAGAATGCTTTCAGGCTCTACAAGAGGGAGGAGGCCTGGAAATGCTGACAAGCCTCCAGAGGGCGCTAATTGGAGGACATGACCAGATTTTCTTGCAAAGCATTCCGATTCCCTCTCAGTTGGAATGACATCCGTGATAATAAACGGAGCAGTGGTGTTGATAATCTGAGGCAGCATAAAACTTAAAATTGGTTCAAGAGAAGGGGTTGTGATAACAGTCAGGCTTAGTGCTGAGCGGCAAGAGAAGCTGCCATCTAAGATCAAACTCTTTTCTGCTGAGAACCCACCAAGTAGATAGCCCCAAAATGGGTACTAGAGAGTTCTCTGAAGCTTTTTTTTTTTTTTTTTTTTTGAGACGGAGTCTCGCTCTCTCGCCCAGGCTGGAGTGCAGTGGCCTTTTTTTTTTTTTAAATTTAGTTTTATGAACATGTTTCCAGAAGGATCCTGCTTACCTTGGCAAAGAAGAGGATTTTGCCAATCCTGACTTCTTGAGACAAATGGCAGGGCTTGGGAAGGGGCTGATAAGGGTCAGACCAGGAAGAGGGAAGGGAGTTATCCATTTCCTCCACGGTATCTGTGGAAGGCAGGATTGATTTGTTTTTTCTTGGCTATGAAATTTTCCATGTGCCTAAAGGTAAAGGATGGGTAGCACAGGCTCTAACGCTTGTCCACTTAGGAGAGCTGCTGGGCACAGGGTGAACTGGGCTGGTGCATTTGGGCGGGCCTGCCATATAATTCTAGGAACAGTCAATGTCAGATCAAATTTAACAGGGAAAGCATGAACCTCCATCCTTTCATTCATTCACTTATTCATTCATTCATTCATTTAACAAATATTTGTTGAGCACCTGGTATGTTCCAGGCATTGTCTATGTGCTGAGGATACCTTAGTTAATAAAAGATAAAAATCTCTGCTCTTTTGCAACTTATATGTTAGCAGGAGAAGATAGACACTCAATGAAAATAAACAAGGATATTACATGTCCTGTGTGAAGGTGATAAATGTCTTGACAAAAAATTACAGCAGAGAAAGAGGGAATCAACAGTGCATGGACAGAGGCACCACAATCTTAAACTTGGGGGAGACAGAGCAGATATGTCAAGCTGGCCTCAGAGCCAAGCCTGGGGAGTGCACACTTACCTTCAGGAGAAACTGCTCCTTCTCACTTTTGATTTGCTGTTCCATTTCCTCATAGAGATGCTGGATTTCTTCATCATAAGCAGCAATTTTCCTAAAGAGGTGGCAAAAGGAGAGTCTGCATTGAGGTTCCCCTATCGCACAGTGACAGCTCCTGGAGCTCAGACACCAGTCCCCCACTCTGGAGCTGTGGGTGTGGGGGTGACAGCAGCGGTCAGGTCGGTCAAGGCTACAAGATCAGTCCCTCAGGATCAGCTAACCCAACAAGGGATGCAGACCACAGAGGCCTTGTGGCACCTGCCCCTACAACTGGTAGGTTTCACGTGGCCTCTCCTCCTCCCATCCCCCAGCCATCACTCCTAGATGATCCCTGTGCTCCTCGGTGAAGTTTCCCTGGACCATCTCCCTTTATTGTACTTTATTTCAACACAAGCCCACAGGCCTCTGCCAGACATATCATCCCTGTTTCTGCTGATCCCTACGCTCATAGACCATATGAAGTTACATCGTGTGGGTTTCTTTCCTGTTGTTTCCTGGTTTATCTTGCCCCTGTCTGCATGCTTTCTCTCTGCCTGTCCACATCCGGACCCTCTATCACTGCACTCTCAGAGGACTCTCCCTGTATGCTTGAGTTTGTGTGATCCATGTTTCTCATGAGATTCTCAAGAGATTCCATGATGATGACAACAAGAGCTACCACACCCCCCACCACAAAGCAAAAGGCACGATGTCTAGTGCCCGTGCCATCTCAGGCTCCAGGGCACAAGCAGACAGTGCGAGACAGGCGAGGCTGGTTGGAGGATGGCGATGACAATGAGATGTCCTCATCCCCACTCTTCTTCTCAGCATCCTCTCCCCACTCTTTCCTCTCCCCACCCAGAAAGTGAGTACCTAGGCACTCTGCTCCTATAGGGAGATGAAGACAAACGCAGCTATGGGAACAAGGTTTGTAGGTCATCCCCAGGGACGACCCTTTTCTGTTTCTCCCTCTCCCCATGATACATCCAACTTCTAATGCCCCTCCAAATTCAAACAGGAAAGATCTGGTATTAGCATTGGAACTGAAACTGGGAGTTATCACACTGAATTACTGACTTTCCCAGGTAGTTGCATTTTCATGCCTTTTTTGCTGACCATGCAGTGAAAGACCCTCTTTGTGGCCCCTACTCCCGATCCTCTCCCTATCCTGTTCAGGAAACTCCAGGCTCTGTGAACAGGCTCATGTGGCTCTCAAGACCTGTTCTGAACATGCAACAGACACACACACACACACGCACACACACACACACATTTGGCCCCTGCCATTCTAAACTTAAATGATGGCAAGCCCGCTGTGCCCTTTATTTAAGAGACTTCAATAATTGAAGTTCTCAATTTTAAGAAGTACTAGGAAGATTTCTGAACTGAATATAAAGGATGGGAATATATTTATTCCTCTGAGCCCTCCATCATTTTAACCCCTACCTCCCATGTCCACTTGGGCCTCCAATCCAGGACCAGACCTTCTCTGCTGTCCAAGGCTTTGCCACAGCCCAATTTCTGCCCCTTTCTCATCTGCCACCTGTTGGGAGAGCATTTTCACCATGTGCACAGGTGAACAATGAACAGGAGTCATTTTGATTGGCATCCTTCCTGCTTTACAGAAACCACAGATCTGACCCAGACAAAGGAACAGTGTGTGAGACTCCATGGTCAGGGACATTCATCACAGAGCACAGCCTTGGAGTTGCCTTGCTTGGCAGCACCCCCAAGACCAGAAACTTGATTTTGAGCGACTGTACAATAATGGCCCACGGTGGGCTCAGCAAGAGATGACAGTCCTCCCAGACCTTCGCAAGCCGGGACCCTGTCTTTATGGATACGTCCTGCATCCCTTACTCTTTTTGGCTAAGAGTAAGAAATCTCTTCTTGTTAAATGACTGATGTTTGGGATGGTTACTTTTGCTCTGAGTTAACTCATAAGAATTAAAACAAAATCTTGGAGGAAAAGTAAGGAAAAAGGCTCATGCTGTTGACCCTGATACTTCAGTGACAGAAGCAGATACAGTTTGAAGGAACTTTCAGAAAGCAAGATGATTTCTCTTGGTCCCTGGAATTATCTTCCTGTGTTTGAAGAAACTCAGATGCTAGATGGTAAATGATATCAAGGAAAACTCTAGACAGAGATTCCAGCTATATAAATACTGTAAAACTAATAAAGTAAGATGAGAGAAACTTAAACATTGATTTGGCTCTGCTAAAGCAATTCATATAAAGTTATTCATATAAATGGCTTACCATTTATTTCTAATAACCATGCAGGGCATTAATTCTATAATATAATTAAGTGTGCTATATTAACTTTGATCTATGTCTTATTTGATTAAATTAACACACTCTAAGTTTTTCATGCTTGCATACCAGCTTGCTGGTATGTGAATTAAGTTATTTTACAAGCCACTAAAAAATAACTGGCAGGAAGATAGATACAGTGTTTGAAGAGTGCCTCCTCCTAGCCCTCACTCACAAAGGCTAGGTCTACTGCAAAGAAGCGCTGGGATTCCAGGTGGGCATCCGAGATCCTGGGCCCAACCAGACTCATATATGCAACCAAGCTTTTGGAAAGCTGGCCTGCTGTGAGACTCTCCAGGCTTGAACGACTATGACAAGACTGGGTTAGAACACACTAATCCCAGGAATGGGGAACATTAAGGTGCTGTGCATACCAGTCATGTCACTAAACCAGTGCAGGGATGAGACGACTTGCATTCGGATCCCAGAACCAGCTCCTTTCCTCAGTGTGACCTTGGGTAAGTGCTCTGACCTCCTCACATCCTGGGATGGTACCTGCCCTGTGTTCCTCCCTACATTGTCATAAACACACGAGAGTGGATGTGGAAAGTGTCAGAACCACAGAGCCCTCAGTCAATGTAAGGGATGATTTATTGTTGTCATTACAATCACGGGCTGTGGAGGGCAAAGGGCAGTGCTCCCCAAGGGGAAGAGAGTCTTGGTTTCAAGGATGAAAGACCTGCTGGGTTTGGAAAGGCTGATGCAATTGGGAAGATGAAGAAGAAATAGCTCAGTGAATAAAAGTGCCTGTCAAACCAATCCATTAGAGACCCAGACTGTGTGTGAGCAGGAGCCAGGAGCCAGGAGCCCGTGTCCGCAGGAGCCCTGCAGTGGCTGTGCGGGCAGTGGCAGCAAGAGACACTAAAAAGATGTGCACATATGGTGAGTCACATTCAGCAAGGCTCGCCACATTCTGCCATCAGGGGAAAGAGACAACTCATCATGTTTGCTCATCATATACATCCTTGTTGCCACAATTTCTAAAATCACTTATATTGCCTAATGCATATAAACAGACTTTGAAGTCTTCTCTGTGAAGATTTTGCCATCTATTCCAACCCTCATGACCCCTTCTCTGAACTCTGATGACAGCAGATGTCTTCATTTGATCATTTAACAATTAATCTTAAATAGTCCTGAACAACTGTTTCATTTGGGTTCGTGTTGTCTCAATTAGATTATAAACACGCAGGCATTTATGTCACCCGCAGGGCCTGAACTCAAAATGTTAATGCCAAAAAGCTGTAAAAACTCAATTTACAATTTTGGGTACCAAACTCAGAAGCTCATGGACCATTTTGAGGGAACACTAGATACCATGTGAGTTAAAGAACTTCAGAGTTGGAAGGTCTGTCTGACCTAACTACCTGTTTCTCCGGTGTTAAAAATCTTGTGACAATACCATGTCAAGTACTTACCCAGACTAGGTTAGAATACACCCAGTGACAGGGAACTTGCTGTTTCTCTAAGTAGTTATTTCATCTTTGGGATATTCTGGCTCACAGAAATCTGTCTTTCCACGACCTTACTCTTCTGCATAAAAGCCTTTCATGTATTTCAGAACGGCATCAAGACTTCAAGGGTTCAGGTCAAGCCTCTCCACTTCTTGCAACTGTGTCTCACGTGGATTTTTTACAAATCCCTTTACAATTCCCTTCATGTTTCTTCAAATGGGCTGCAATGATCTTTCTCAAGCTATGGGAGTGCCAAACTGAATGTCCAGTGTATGAGTCTGATGTGTGCAGATTAGAGCTATTTCCTCTCTTGTTCCAGATGCTGCATAACTATTCATACAGCCTAAAACCCCATTAACTTTTCTTGGCAGCCACATTACAGTGGATGTGTGCTGAACCCATTTGCCAACTACAATCTCTAAATCTTAGGTCTGTGTGATCATTTTTGTTTTAAAGATGGTACTACTGAATCGTATCTCCTCTACTTTGTGCTTCTGCCATTGGCGTTTTGAACACAGAGCAACATCTCAAATGTAATTCTGTTAGATTTTGTGTTTGCTAGTTCTAGTCCATCTTTCCAGCCCGTCACTATGCTAACAGGTCTCAGTTGGTCATGTGGTGTATTCAGTGACTTTCCAAGTTTTGTTGACATTTTAAATCTTCAATCAGGATGCAGGCTAAATAATCTATAATGTTGGTTTTTGTCATTTAATGTATCTGAGAGTTATTTAAAAGGCAGTTTATTAAAAAAGGTACAAGCTATTGGTTTCTAGTTTTATTATATTATACAAAGAAATGGTTTTGGAATCTATTGGTTATCTTTCCCCTGTAGCCACAAACATGACCAATTTTTGCACAACTTCTATGAGAGGGACATATATTCTATTTGTAACGCACACAATTCTATATTCATCTCTAAAGTGTGTTCATTGATGGTTTCACATACTTTAATCTTCCACGTACTTTTGCCTGACTAATGTGTCAAATCTGAAGCAAATTTTGTTAAAGTCTAAAGTCTGGATTTTATTAAGTTTTCTTTATTTTTTCTAAAAGCTTCTGCCATATGTATCTTGCTGTTGTGTTGTTTGGCGCATAAAGCTTAACGTATGTTGTATCTTCTTTATGGATGGAACTTTTTTCATTACTTCAAAATATTCCCCTTTTATCTTCCTTTACTCATGCCATTGGAGAAATGTCAGACAAAATGAGGACCACAATCTGTAGCAGAGACCTCTGAGATGTTCATTAGTGACATGTAGGCATAGCCATTCAACCTGTCTTCTCTTAGCCATTCTCAAAACACTCCTTC